CTCTCTCTCTCTCTCTCTCTCTCTCTCTAAATAATATGTTTGAGACAAAACTATTTTTATAAAAATTTAATATGCATAGATTTACTTACGAATTACTACCAACAAAATAAATAGCTTCATCATTAGTGATATAATTACCAAAAATTAATCCAAGATATATAAAGATATTATATTTATATTTAAAAAATTAAACAAACAGTTGCGACACTAACTGCAAATGTGTTAAACCAAATGAAATTATAAAATTATTAATTAATCATATATAATTGTTTTGCCACCAATCTGGTTTAAATAAATAATTGATTAAGTTTTATTAAAATTAAATTATAAAATTTATTATTATACTAATTCAATAATGTAAACTCAGTTTAATAAATGTAATTAAATGTTTTTTTAAAAATTTATATTACAAACTACAGTATTTAGTTTTTATAAATAAATTATAAAATTTAAGCAACTTTTATTTTATAAATTGTAGATTTTTATATAATTATTTAATAAACTACAAAAATGTCGATTAATTGATATAACAATTTAATAAAAGTTTCAAAATTTTTATTATAATAAACTTATTTGCTTAATTTTAAAAAATTAAAAATAAAAATAAAAATATCAGTTATTCATAAGCCGGAAGTCCTATAGATTCGGGTTTAAAATTAATAAAACTTTTACAAATTGCTGTCACTTTACCCATAATTGCATCAAAAGTACTATCAATGGTATCATTGATTAAGACAGTAGTCATACCCGAAGCCACAGCACCGGTAATACCAGTCAACGAGTCCTCAAATACCACACAATTGTGCGGCGATTCCGGCGGCGATGCAAACCGTTTGGCGCACACCTGATATATATCGGGCGCCGGTTTGTTATGCCTAACATCGGGATCATCTTCACCGCATACATAGTGTGTAAAATACTCATCAAAATATGGCATTAAATGTCCGACACATGAACTAAATATTTTTGTGGACCCATTGGTTGCGATAGCCATCGGTATATTGTGTTGATATAAATGTCTTATTAATTGATCCACACCTGGGATCAGTTCCACCGGATTGGCGGACAACTCCTTATAAACCATTGCCATAAACTCAGCCAACGGTGCCTTCAGGTCAAGTGAATCGCAAATTTTGACCAAAAACTCGGGAACATTGTCTACATCTCTGAGTTTGTCTATGTTTTCAATTATTGTATTTATTTTGAAAGGTTAATTTTAAAAAATTATATTTACTTTTATCATGGCGTATGTATTGCTTGCCATAATAGCGTGCAGATACATCCAGCGCCTGTATAACACAATCAAATGGATCTACCAAGGTACCGCCTAAATCAAATATAACATGTGTGGCTGTATTTATGGCCATTTGGTTGAATCCCTTTGTGTTGACTATAAAATAATGTTAATTTAACACAAAATATTTTGGCCAAGTATTATTATTTTATTACACTAATAATTTATATGATAATCACAAATGACTATTTTACACTTATATACTTAAAATGTTAGTAATTTATTAAATGTGTGTACACAAATTAAAATATATAACTGTAACTTATATTTTAAGCTATTTAATTTTGTGAGTTTTACACGGTTATTTAATTTTATCTTTACACTTTCTAACCTAAAATATATATTATTAATATTATTACAAAGTTTATATTTGACTTAAATTGTATGAAATATTTATGGTTATCACTATAATTCTGGCTTTTTATTTTATAATAAAATATTTATAAATTATTAAATAGTTTAAAGACATTTTTTTATGTTCATTTGACAGAGATTAATATTAGATATCACGTTCATAAAACATTTACCATTTTGTAACATTAGTTAAGAGAGAGAGAGAGAGAGAGAGAGAGAGAGAGAGAGAGAGATTAATTAAATTACAAACTTATTTAATAGCTACAATCTTAAATTAAACAAATCTATCATTGTAAATTATAAACATAAATNGAGAGAGAGAGAGAGAGAGAGAGAGAGAGAGAGATTAATTAAATTACAAACTTATTTAATAGCTACAATCTTAAATTAAACAAATCTATCATTGTAAATTATAAACATAAATAATATAAATAACATACAGTTATTAATAGACTTTATTTAAACTGAAATATGCGGAATTAAAATAAAAGAATCAAAGTCTGTGTACACGACTAAACATAATTGTAAAATTACAGGATTTAACAATCTGAGATGTGCAGGATTAAATGAAATATTAATTGAAATATTAAATTTAACCTTATACAATATGATTTTCATTGAACAGTTGTGTAATTTCCTGATATTTTATAAATATAATTCTACAAAACTTAAGAAATACAAAAAAACAAACATTTTCATCAAACAATGTGTAACAAAACCATACATTAATCTAGACTTACAATTTAAACTACCATGATCACTGGGGACAATAACAGCAGTAATAACACTAATAAATGTGTGACAAAAACTATAGATAAGTAGGTTTTAATTAAGTTTTTAAATAATAAAACAATACAAAGTTGCAAACAATATAAACTTTAAATAAAAGGTTGCATTAGACATAAATTAATTATATTATATTTTATGAGTATTACATTAATTTCTATATTAATTAAATTTATGGTTGATTAAAATAAATTAAAACTAGTATTAATTAAAAATAACACATTTTTAAGTTTTATAATAAGACAAAAATTACAGTTCAGCAAAAATCTCAGACAAATTATATACAAATATAATTATGAGTTCTCACACTTCAGGCAAACAATTAAGTGATCGACTGTTGGATCCGTTGGAGGACTCGTTGGCTAAGATGTTTACCACGGATTACGTCCAGAAGATACTAATGACGGGCGAAATGACTGATCAAAACATACGGTACGTACAGAAACACTGGAAGAGATCCAAAGACATCGTTACGAGTGAGTACTGATATCCTAATAAATATGTCATCTATGGTGTAAAGAATATGTTTTTACCTTAATGTTAGTCAAATTAATAAGTAAGTTAGTTACATGTTAAACACATTATAAAATCAACAACTTGTAATATTAAAATTATACACAAACTTAGATACTCGTGGATCTACTTAAACGGGCCTACAGTTTGGCCACCAATCTATTGTATCTGGACTTTGATCCCAAGATGTATTTGGGTTTATTGAAGGGTTTGGTTGATTCAAACGGTGGTAATAAATCTGCCGCTGAAGAGCTCGAGCTAATCCGGTTTGCCAAACAAGTAATGGATTTTGAGATTAAACTGCATCTCAATTTGTAGTTTGGTATTAAATATTTATAGTTTATATTTGTTATTAAAACTATTGTTTGTAATTATTTAATGTGTTATTTTTGATATAATTTTAAAAATATAGTTTTCAAATGTTTTACATAAGTAATAAGCAGTTTTATAATTTGAATGAAAATATAAATTGCACTATTTTTAATTATTTATGTGATATTACCTTTATAAGTTAAAAATTGTGCCTAAGTTTTATTTTAAACAAATATATGTTTTAATCATAAGCCGGTAGTCCAACGGATTCTGGTCTAAACTCATTAAAGCTTTTGGTAATTGCCGTCACTTTACCCACAATTGCATCAAAAGTACTATCAATGGTATCATTGATGAGGACAGTAGTCATACCCGAAGCCACAGCACCGGTAATACCAGTCAACGAGTCCTCAAATACCACACAATTGTGCGGCGATTCCGGCGGCGATGCAAACCGTTTGGCGCACACATGATATATATCGGGCGCCGGTTTATTAGGGAACTCCTCGTCGTCGCCAAACACATAGTGTTTCATATATTTATCAAAATATGACATCAATTGTCCCACACCTGCGACAGACGACTTTTTGGACCCATTGGTTGCGATAGCCATCGGTATATTGTGTTTATATAGATGTTTTACAAGTCGATTAACACCGGGAGCCAATTTAGCAGGACTGGGACCCAACTCTTTATATACCAGTGACATAAACTCATCGGACGGTACCTTCAAGTCTAGTGATTTACATGTATCGGCCATAAACTCGGGCATGGTGCTCATGTCGCGTAGTACATCTATAGTATTTTTAATTATGTTTAATTAAATTAATTAATTTAATTGTAAAAATAATTACTTTTATTATGGCAAACGTACTGTTTATCAAACGTCCTAGCCACAATGTCGATGGCCAGTATGAAATTGTCATACAAATCGACTAAGGTGCCGCTCAAATCAAATATTACATGTGTGGCTGAATTGGCGGACATTATTATAGTTATAGCTGTTATTAATAAATTTAAATTAATTAATTTTTTTCAGTACAAATATGTTATAAATAAGTAATAATTTTTATTTTAATGTATAGTTTATAATAAAGTACTGTATATAATAATTGCCATCTACTATCTTTGTATTTAAATACTAAATTATTAAGGTGATAAATTAATTGTAGCTGTTTAACACATTATTTCATCATTAACGCAGACAAATTAAATATTAATTATGTATTCAATACAACTTATTAAGAATGTACATTATTAACATGAAATAATTTATTCATTATAATTATAGTTAGAAAATAATTGATATTTAAAAAATATTAACTCAATATGTAATCAATTTTAATTTATTTAAATTAATTAATTTTCTAAGATACTAGATTAAAATAAAGGTTTTAATCTATCATAAGCCGGTAGTCCAACAGATTCGGGTCTAAACTCATCAAAACATTTAGCAATTGCTGTCACTTTACCCACAATTGCGTCAAAAGTACTATCAATGGTATCATTGATGAGGACAGTAGTCATACCCGAAGCCACAGCACCGGTAATACCAGTCAACGAGTCCTCAAATACCACACAATTGTGCGGCGATTCCGGCGGCGATGCAAACCGTTTGGCGCACACGTCATAGATATCGGGCAGAGGTTTGTTATGCCTAACATCGGGATCGTCTTCACCGCAGACATAGTGTGTTATATATTTATTAATAAATGGCATTAAATGACTGACACCAGCACTTAGTGATTGCTTGGACCCATTGGTGGCGATAGCCATCGGTATATTGTGTTTATATAGATGTTTTACTAGCCGTTCAATGCCTGGCATAATAATTGTTGGATGATTTTTAGCCTCTTTAATAACGAGTGCCATAAAATCATTTGATGGTATATTCAGGTCCAGTGAATTGCATGTCTCGGCCATAAAGTTAGGCAAACTTTCAAACTCCCTGAGTTTGTCTATGGGTTTTAATGATTATGATTATAATTAAAATTAGTTTTATTTATAATGAATGTGTTATACTCCTGTCATGACAAATATATTGTTTTCCAAAGTACCGAGCTGATATTTCAATGGCCTTGATCATAGTGTCCCGGTGCTCAATTAGAGTGCCACCTAAATCAAATATAACGTGTGTTGCTGTATTTGTTGCCATTTGTTATATAAAATAGCTTAATAACTTATTTTATTTTAAAATATATTATTTTTTTGCAACCAATCTGGTTTGACTTGATAATTAATTAATTTTTTATTTTTATTAAAACTAATTCAACAATTTAAACTCAATTTCATAAACGTAATTAAAAATAATTATTATCATTTTATTTTAAAAACTATTAATTTCACATTCATGTTTAAGTGATTATTTAAACGATATCAATTAAATAAACATCATTTGACTAATCAGTTCTAAATATTACAATAACAAGTTAATGAATATAAATATTTAAATGATAAATATAATAATAAATAACATTTATAAAGCTTAGAATTTATAACAAAGCATTTTATTCAAAATAAAAGTATTTATCATATTTTAATCATGACATAAATATGAGTGAATCATAAGCCGGTAGTCCAACGGATTCGGGTCTAAACTCATTAAAGCTTGTAGCAATTGCTGTCACTTTACCCACAATTGCATCAAAAGTACTATCAATGGTATCATTGATGAGGACAGTAGTCATACCCGAAGCCACAGCACCGGTAATACCAGTCAACGAGTCTTCAAATACCACACAATTGTGCGGCGATTCCGGCGGCGATGCAAACCGTTTGGCGCACACATGATATACATCGGGCGCCGGTTTATTAGGGAACTCCTCGTCGTCGCCAAACACATAGTGTGTCATATATTTATCAAAATACGACATTAAGTGTCCGCAATATGAGTTAATTACCTTAACGGACCCACCGGTGGCGATAGCCATCGGTATTTTGTGTTTATATAGATGTTTTATTAGCCGATCAACACCTGGGATTAGTTCAACTTGGTTAAGACAATACTCCTTATTCACGATTGCCATTAATTCATCATGTGTCATTTTCAGATCCAATGAAGTGCATATGTCGGCCATAAACCCGGGAACATTTACTACCTCTCGTAGTATATCTAGATGAAAATTTTATAATTTAATCTTAATTAATAAAATAATGTATTTAAATGGTACATTGTACTCACTTTTGCCAGGGTTAACATATGATTTGCTAAAAGTTCGAACCACCTTATCGAGGCACTGCATATAATAGTCAAATACGTCGATCAAGGTGCCACCCAGATCAAATATTACATGTGTCGCTGTGTTTGACGACATTTTAATTTGTATTTTTATAATATTTTTTTAAACAAATCTGTTTATAATTAATTATTTTTATTTTTAATTAAATATTTATTTTAACACAAATTATGATTTTATATTTAATAATGAAATAAATAATGATTTTATTATTATAATGAATAACTATTTAAACATACAGTAAATGTGTAATTATAAGTCATTTAAATCGTGGTCACTTAGCGTTTCATACGAGGGGTTTCTAATTAACTGATGCTCAATATTAAGCACATGGTGATTAATACTCTTGCGATCATTAGTCGTATAATTAGGACCATTATGGCAACTATTAATATTATTATTATCACTTACATTACTATGATCATTTAATTCGTCGGCAATAACATTAGCTAGCTTAAAATCCAGGTACTGGGAATCGATCGAGTTGTAATTTCTATCATTGCTAACATTACTACTACAATAGATATCCGATTTACCACTCGCTGTCCTAAACGAGTGGTCAACATTGCGGGCCCTCCGGAGTCGTAGCACACAGACTACCATCGCTATAATTACCCCAATAGACACACAGCATACCAGTGCCAACAGTAAGGCGCTGATCTCAATCTCGGTCAGTTCACTGCCACCGGAGCAACTTTGCAGTTCATTGCGGTTAAAACACAGGGTTAACCGCTGACTGTGATCGGGGTTTAGGCACGGGTTGGTTAGGTTTGATTTGCCGCTGGACTCCGGAGCGGTTGGAGAGGTGTAGACAATGCGGTCGCGAACCCACGTCCTGTTACCCGAACAGTGGATCATGTATTCGCTGATGAGATCCGTGTCGTGATGGCACTCATTGATGAATATGTAGTCACCCGTGTTGTTGACCACAATGTGGTAGTTTTTGTAGTGACTTTTATCCTGGCTGTAGGTCTCCAGGGGTTGGCAGTAACTGCTGTTTTCGTCGCCAGTGATCATAATAATTTAAATTTTTATCTAGATGTAAGTTGTAAAATGTTTGTGTTGTGACACTGTATTTGATTTGTTAAAATGTCTGTAATTTTGTGTTTTTTATGTATTTTTCAAGTTTTGTATAATTATTTTTGTGAAATATCAGGAAATACATGATTTTTCGCCGGAAATTTTGGCGACAAATGCTTTCCTATTATATAAAATTGGTTTTATTATTATAGCTATATTTAGTGATAGACATTAATTTTGATAAATGTCATTTCAATCCCACATATTTTGTAAAAATATATTAATACCATGTATGATTCACTAATAATTAGTGACTAATTCTATGTTACTTATATAATTTCTGTATAATATTTGCAATATTACAGTATAGTCTGATTTACTGTACAGTATTTTCTATTGTATTATGTTTTATGACTTTTATTATCAGATCTGTATTTGAATTAAGACTCTCTCTCTCTCTCTCTCTCTCTCTCTCTCTCTCTCTCCTCATTGCAAAGATACATAAAGTTTACAAACAAACTCCTAATGTTATTAACCATCACTTCCTACTTAATAATAAAGCAAATATAATAAAAAATGATATAGATGGAATTTTTTAACTGTAATAAATGTTAGGCAAACATGTTACAATTAACAAATGAATGAAATCATCACTCTTATTTTCCGATTTAATGTACGTTATATTAAATTCATAATAATATAATAAACGTAATTTAAATGCTGGGAAAATGACAGTCTATTACAGTATAACCCAACGGAAACATAAATTCATTAATAATAATAAAAATATAACAATTATTAAATATCCCATTTTGCAGTCCATCTATAAATTTATTATTTATAAAGTTAATTTATAAAATATATTATACTATACCACATGATAACTAACTATCACCCTAGGGAAATAAAATGTCTTTGTTATAATTACCCGCAATAAATCACAAATGATATGTGTTGTAAAAAACATTTTATTAAAATACAAAAAATATATATACTGTATATTACAAAAAAAAAATACAAACTTTAACTTTAATAAAACATTAAAATATTACAGAAAATACAAAACAAAAAAGTGACCAAGATCACATTACAAGCTAAGACCCGATCCCTCAATGGTAACAATGATATCGTGACACTTCTCGATCACCGATTGGACCTTCTGTTGCAGTTCTTCGTCAAACTCGTCAAAATCCAGACCATTACAGGACTCGTGAATACCGGTCAACACTCGGAGCACATGCCGGGAGATTACGGTACAGAATGTAATAATCTGTTGATCGCCGCTAAGTATACACTCGTCAATAAAGTCGGCCATTTTGTCGGCAAAGACACCCAATATGTTGGCCATACGATCGCACCACTTGTCCAGATCGGCCACATCGGTGGCCGACGTGATAATGGCGTTCAATGTGGTCTCCAAATTGTTCATGATGTTTCTGGTCACGATGGTTAGGTGACCTAGCAGGTTTTGGGCGATCGTACGGTTCAGGGCGTGTTTCCCGGTGAGCAAGGTGATGCATTTGTCATAGTAGGCTGTGAACGTGGTAATCAGGGTTAGTTGTGTTGTTTTTATGACTTAGCTAGGTGATATTTAAATGATTAATTTACCTGTTAGTGTTTCACACTCGCTGTTGCAGGCAATGGTTAAGCCAATTGTGATTAGCATAAAACTCGCGACTAAATAGACCCTCATGTTTGCGATTCGTAATTAAAGTAGTTGCCTTATACTTCATTTAAATATAAAACACCGAGTTATTTAATTATTGACTAGGTTTACTGATTAATAACTTAATTTAATAGTATTTTAACAAGCTTAAGTTAAAACAGTTTTTAGTAACAATTTATTTCAATGTATTTTACCATCATTTTCAACGGTTTATATAAGAAAGTTGAAATGTTTTATCGGAAATACTTATCATTTTATTGTTTGCAGAATATTTTTTAACCACAATTCTATATAAAATAATGTGGGTTATATAATCGTCATTCCTTCCCCCTAACTTCATTCCCTATTGGGAATAACATAAAATTTAGGTGAAGTCTGTGGCTATACTTTAACATTAGGCTAATGTTATCCAAAAGTTAATTTTAACCCTATGGGTTAAGTCTAAAGACAATGTTAAATTTATAAATTATACTAATCTACTTTTAAGCATCACCCGAATAGTGGATAACGTATAGCATCACTGTGTGAACCTTGTTTTTTGTTGCAACATTTTTATAAACTTTTATTTATGGTTATCTTAAAAACAATATATTTATTATGTCTAAGTGTTTACTATTTACTGTATTATCATTGATTTACAATATAAAAACAACAGGTTGAATTTTTGTTTTGTATATAATGTTTGTAACTGGCAACTGTAAATTTATATGAATTTACATTATGTAATATACGTGAGTATTTTATTTAGTTTAATTTGGTTTATTATTTTCATTTAAAATGTAATTAAAATTGGAGTAATTATAGGTATTTAAAAATTTTATAGAAATATAAATAAATTAATTTATACCATTACCCAGGTAAACCATAGTTATTATCACACATGATTTATTATGGTAGATTGTTGTTAATATTATATAATTCCGTTATACAAAATAATTTCGCAAAAAAATGTATTTTGCTTAATAAGTGGCATTGAAATTGATATTGAAATTCAATAATTTTTATGCAAATCAGTGATAATTATATAATTTATTTAATAATTTATTACTTGAGAAAATATAACACTGTTACACATTATCATGTATTAACAGTTTTTGAGTTTAGCAAAATAATTTATTATATTGATTGTTAACAAAATAAAACTAAACGCTGACTATAAAACAAATTATAATAAATAAAATATAACTAAATATAAATAAAACTATTGTTAAGTTATAAATAAATTTTTAAAATAAAATCAGCATTGTTAATTTCTAAAACATAAACACTGGACAGAGGCCTGGACTAAATCGTAGGCACACCGGCCAAAGTCATAGGTGTTAACGGCAGCACAGGTGCCATTACACGGGTCCTCATTACAGGTGTAGATACACAGCCGGTACCGATTGGTAGGCCGTTGACAACCCGTGTAACTAAACACACCGGTAGGTCCCGGGGCTACACTTCGCTGACACCTTTGCTGATCGTTTGCATTGCACGCGCCGTTCACCTTAACTATATGGGTAAAAATATAAGCATGGTACATTAGATTGTATTTATATTATTCATATTCAATAGTAATTACCCTTTGTTAAAATTGCTAGAAATAATAGCAATACAAATATCAAAATTTTTAAACACATTTTTAAAATTATAATTAACTAATTTTTTTAGAGGTTCAGTTAGTTTTATAGTTAACTTATTTTATATACAGTAATCGGAAAGTACTAAAAACTTTTGCGCTAGGTTAGAATTTTTTTGTTGTTGGCATTTGTGAAATATGAAATGATATTATTATTGTTAAGTAAATACAGGCATTGATTGATTGCTACCTGTGTTCACACAAATAGCACCTACAATTAAATATTATATTATGCTAACTTGTTGAGTAAATAGATATAATGTTTAAATAAATGTTTTATTTTCAAAATTTAATTGTCAACTAAATAATGTAGATTTTAAATATACAATAAATGTACTGTCATTTACAATCTAGATTTTTATTGATTACATGTTGGTAACCTTGATATTGATAGTAGGCATCATATAATTATATGATGGTTAATTAATGCAAACATCAGAATAGCATTAACTATGTTAAATCAAACATTTCATGGATTATTATGGCAGTTACTTTTGGTTAATACACTAAATTATTAAGTTAAATCAGTTATCAATATACAAATCAGCAAACTTAATTGATTAATTCTATTAAAGATAATAAAGTCAGTATCAATTAGGCTTTTAAAACATGCTAGCATTAAATTTGAATAATATCTACTTTTGTACATCAATTGTTTGAGTTTACATGTAAAGTTATATTGCAGTGTGATCATGATTGAATATCTATAAAAATATATTCCAGGTTTAATAAAACCACAATAAATTGCCACATAATTAAGCAATTGTGATCAATTATCTAATTGTGGTTAATTCGACATGACATTTTTATTCATTAAAACTAAACTTAAATATTATAGAATGTAAGTAGTAATCTATTATAATCATCTTATTACTTTTAAAAATCTAGTTATAACAACAAGATTTCTAATACAAGAAAACTTACTTACAGTGTATAAATATTAAATTTCTATACAATGTATAAATATTAAAATTCTATACAGTATACATATTTGAAAAAGCTAGCCTAAATTATTTCACCCAAATCCTAATATCATAAATAATTTAATTTAATAAAAACAACAAATTTTCAATTCAGCAAACTTTAATCAAATAAAACAATAACAAAACAAAAACAAACAACATGATAAAAATTAACCACTAACAATGATCTCATTAATGTCGGCGCAACTTTGTCTCACACCAGTAAGCTTTACATTAAGGTTAACATCGGCTGAAATGCCGGCCAACACCGCACACCCGGCGTCCACTTTGGCCACAAACTCCTGCACTGTCTTCACAATAGCCGCGCATTTCGTTTTCACCGCCTCTTTAGTCGTCTTCTTATAAGTCTTGATAAAGTCCTGCAAATGTTTTTTAATTACATCCAAAGTATTGCCGCAATCTTTGCTCCACTCGAGCACTTCCGACAGGTTTAGGTCGGCCTCGCCCTCAGCTGACAGGTGTATGTCTAGTCGGGCCGTGAGGTCACCCCCGGAGCCGCAGGTAGAGCTGCAGACGCCGCTCAATAGGTCGACCGCTTTGAGCACTTTGTCCAGTATTACGCCCCCGATATCTACCAATAGTTTGCCCAATAGTGAGTTGCATTCGGTGAAGTTAACTGTAGGTAAAACATATAATTAAAGTTAGTTTAGTTTCTGAGAGAGAGAGAGAGAG